GCCTATTTTTTGAATGGTTTATTTGTGAATTGTTTTTATTTTTGTCTGTTTGGTTTTTGAGATCTTTACATTTTTTGGGGGTGTTAATCCTCTGCCAGATGCAGGACTGACAAGGATTCTCTCTCATTCTGTGGGAGAACTCTTCATGTGATCATTTCTTTAGCTATACAGAAACTATTTAGTTTTATGATTATAAACTTTATAATTATGTGAAGTCAGTTGTTGACCTCAATTTCTGGGCAATTGGAATCCTATTTGGAAAGTCCATTCCTACACTCATTTCACACAATATGCTTCAGATATTTTTTTCTCTAGACATTTGAGATTTCACATTAATTCTTTGATGTATTTGGAGTTAAATTTTGTGAAAGACTAGAGACACAGGTCTGAGATCTTTCTTCTACATGGGGACATCATGTTTTCCCGGCACCATTTGTTGAAGATGCTGTTTTTTCTCCAGTGTATGTTTTGGGCATTTCTGTAGAATAGTAGATGGATGTGGTTATGCACACTCATGTTGGATCCTTAGGGTTTTTTTTTTCCATTGTCCATTTTTGTGTCATTATCATATTGTTTTCACCACTTGACTGTAATAACCTATTTGTATTTGTATTTGTTTGAACTTATTCTATCCTAATTGATAGTCTTATCTGGTTATTCTTTTTCTAAATTTGTGAAAATTTCAGCCTTTGTTTCTTTGGTTGTTTTTGACGCAAATAATTTTGATTTTCCTTTCATGTGCTGCTTGATTATAACCCCAAAGTTCTCCAGTCATTGTCTTCTTTGTGTCTATGCTAGTCTAATTTTCCTGCTGTTTGAACTGCATTCATTCTATTGTTTTATCTTCAGGTTCAGTGATTTTTCTAATTTCCTGTAATTAGTGTACCCGGTAAATTTTGTTTATCAATTTAGTTATTTTTAAAACTTCAATTTGGCTCTTTAAAAAATAATTTCTTTGAGCTGAATGTGGTTAGTTCCAGCTCTATTGCCAGCATTCAGAAGACAGGAGCAAAACAACTTCAAGCTTAAAGTCAGCTTGAGCACTATGTCAAAAAACAAACTTGCCAATAAAAAAGTCATTTATTTGCTGTGGTGTTTTAATTTTCTCTCATATTTAAATGTAATTTGTAATTGCTTGTCAAAACAGTTTTTATGGGTGCTTTAAAATCCTTGTTAAGCAATTCTAATAATTGATTCATCTAACTGGTAGTGCCTGTTGATTGCCTTGTTTTCATTAATCTGATTTTCTTGATTCTTGTTATCACAGATGTTTATAGTGTCTGATTTTTTTTCCAGGAGACTCAAAGTCTTATTAAAATCTTCCGTTTTATCAGGCAGTTGTCTGTTTTAACATACATGCCTTCTTTATGTATGTCAGTTTGAAAGACTAATTTTCTATATCCTGGGTACAAACATTGTTGCATCTATATTTTGGGGGGAGGTACTGCTGGGTCTTGCATTACTCTGTTAGGCTACCTGTTGATTGCAAAGATTTTTTCTTAGCATTTTCTCTACTTATCTCATTTAAAGGAAGGAAGTCTCTGAGTTTTGAGATGAAGGATATTTCTAAGACTGCAGTGGTTGTAGAATACTGCTTTCCAGTATATACTCAGCCATCCAGCCTTTGGTGGTGGTGGACTGGGTACTTGTTTCAATAGCCCTGTTATTAATATCATATGATATTATGATATATATATATATATGGCCTTTTAACCCCCCAAACAAAAATATTCTATCTGTATTCTATAACTTGAGAAATATCTATGAATAATATCAGGCAAAAATTTTATAACTGCTAAACCTGTGAGAGTTAGAATAATTTTTTAACCATAGTGTACAGGTGTTTTACTCCTTTTATTGAAAATGGATTTTTCTCACATAATATATCGTGATTATTGTTTTCCGTCCCTCTCATCCAGATACACCCCGTTCTGTCTCTCAGTAGAAAAGAAACAAGCTTCTAAGGAAAAATAACAAAATAAAATGTAATAAGATAAAACAAAAACTCGCACATCAGAGTAGAAAAAAACAAACAAAATGAAAAGAGCCCAACAGAAGGCACAAGAAACAGATACAGAACAGACCCATTAATTCTCATCGTCAGGAATCCCAGAAAATCTTTCAACCGGAAGCCATAATATAGATGCAAAGATGTGTAGGGTAAAAAGAAAACAAAAATATATAAATAAAGTAAAAATGAAAATAAAAATTAGATAAACTTTAAGAAATGGAAAACCCTGTTCTGGCATTATGAAACAAGAAATGTCCAAGGATTCCATTGAGTTCATTTTTTATTGGTCATCTACTGCTGGGTGTACAGCCTACCCTTAAGAGTTGTTTGTTTCTCCAGTGACACTTACTTGGAGAAAAATAAATTTTCATTTGTAAGTGACTATCAAATGAAGACAGTTTCTGAATTAGGTAGGGATGGGGACATTTGTCCCCTTTTCTTTTCAGCTCTAGGACACCAACTGGAGCAGACTCGTGTAGGCCTTGCGTATGCTGCCTTAGTCTCTATAAATTGAGTATTTTTGATCATGTTGATTCAGAGGGCCTTGTTTTCTTCATGTCCTCCATCCACTCTGGCTCTTACACTCTTTCCACCTCCTCTTCTTCAGATTTCCCTGATCCCTGAGAGGAAGGATTTGATGGAGGCATCCCATTTAAGGTTGGGGTTCCAAAATCACTCTCTGAATAATGTTTGGCTTTAGGTTTCTCTATTTTTTCCATCTGCTGTAGCTGCACAAAGAAGCTTCTCTGATGACTGAGGAAGACACTGACCTATGAGTACAGCAGATTGTCATTAGGAGTCGTTTTATTGCTTCTCCTTTATTTAGAACAGTGGTATTTGGACTTATCCTAGATCACTGAGATATCTAGTCTCAGGTTTTTGGTCCCGGAAGCAGTGTTGGATATGGTTTCTCTCTCATGGAGTAGACCTTATATCAAATCAGGTATGGTTGGTTACTCCCACAAGCTTTCTACCACCATGGTCCTAGCATGTCTTGTAGGCAGGTTACCATTGTAGATCAAAGAGTTTATACCTGGGTTGGTGTTTATGCTTCTCCTTTGTGTGCAGAGTAACATCTGGTACCAAGAACACTATTCTGCATAGGTGAAGCCTCTAGGTAGGCAACTACTTGAATTCTCCATCTTAGGTGAGTTGCATAAGTTGTTGTCTTCAAAATGGGGACTTGAGGTCAGTTTGTGTAGAGTAACCTATACTCTTGGCAACAACCCGAGTTATTTGGGTGTTCCCATGGGATCACATTGGCCAACAACTCAATGAGATATAACCCATTTCTTGTACTGATGGCTTCCACTTTTTTGATAAGAAATGTCCAGTTGGAGTTCTGTCTCCCCTTTTATTTGACAAATTCATTTAGAGTGCCTTCATATATGTGCATACTTTAGGAAATGTCTACTGCATCAAGTTTCCATACTAGTCCTAAAATGACCCTTAATTTTAGTTTTTTCTCCCTGTATTTCCTCTCTCATCTCCCTTTTCTTTTCCCCAGATTACTTGATCATCCTATTTCAGTATTCCCACCTGTCTATAACTATCTATTCTAGTTCCTTTCTCTAGGGAGATCTATTCATCCCCTCTTTGGAGTGTAACTTAATTATAATTGATTTAACTATGGGCAACAGCATCTAATGCATACCATATTTGTCCTTCTGCGTCTAGGTTACTTTTCTAGAGCTGATATGTTTTTCTGGTTCTATCCCTTTACCTACTGATTCATTTTGGAACAGGCAGATAATATTCCATAGCAGAAATACCCCACATTTTTATCCATTCATCTGCTAAAGGACATCTAGGCTGTTTCTAATTTCTGGCCATTATTAATAGAACAGCAATATACGTTGTTGAGCAAGTGTCTCTGTAGTATGATATAGCAACCTGTGGGTATGTGTCCAAGAGTTGTATGACTAGATCTTGAGGTAAATTGATTCCTGTATTTCTAAGGAACCACCAGACTGATTTCCAGAGAAGGAAAGCTATAGTAATCTTTACAGTATGTCTATTACAATCTCCTCAAGTGCTCAGTTATTTTATGCACAGAAAAAATAGTTTGGGAATAATATTAATAGCAGCATTGCATTGATACCTAACTTGAAGCAAAAGCCAGAATAAATCCCTTATCCAGTGAATATTGAAACATTTTTATTATATTAGAGTAAGATGTAATTTTTCATCATTACCCAATGTACACTAATATGTGTTTTACCTGTGAAGGTTAATTAAAAAGATAGGTACTATCTTTCATGTCAGATATTTGCTAGTACCCATCTTTTGACATACTGTAAAATTGTTCTTTCTTGTACTCTTTATGCTTAATAATGATCAGTTGATTTGTGTGTCCTGTGCTGTATGATAAAAGTGAAGTGTATTATTTTTGAGGACAAAATGTTCTCTTTTACCCGATGTTTCAGTCATAGTAGCACAAAAATGAAACCTTTCTTGTATGCTCCATTGTGGCTAATGCAGGTCAGAACCCTCATTAAATCTCTAATAGACCGAGTGTGAGTAAGCCTCATCTACAGAGCAAGTTCCAGGACAGCCAAGAATAGCTATGGCTACACAGAAAAACCCTGGCTCAAACAAACAAACAAAAGAGAAATAATCTTTTGTTTTCACATAGCTAAAGTTTTCAGGTTTTTTTTCTTTCTTTTTTTTTGAAAGTAATTTTATTAAATTATAAAAGTTTCCATTTACGCCCCTCTTCCCAACACCCTCCCACTCCCCCCATTCCCTCTCCTCCTCCCTCTTCGTCCCTTGTTTGTTTTGATTGATGCACTTGGCTTTACTTCACTTTATCTCACTATGCTGTTTATTTCCATTTCAATTTTCCATGTTGGTTACACCTAGTAAATTGATTCAATGACCAAATAATATGGAGGAAACTTGTAGTTTGAAAAATATTGCTTTGTACTATATTCATTTGACTTCTAGCAGATACACTCTTAGAGCTTTTATGACTACGCCTATATTTCAGGATTGTGGCTATGGAGAAGGTGGAGATGCATACTGCACAGCCTGCCCTCCCCGAAAATATAAAAGCTCATGGGGGCATCACAGATGTCAGACTTGCATCACCTGTGCAGTCATCAATCGGGTCCAGAAAGCCAACTGCACAAATACCTCTAATGCTATCTGTGGAGACTGTATGCCCAGGTAAGCCATTAAATGATATCAGTCTTTCTGGAACTTTTTAGAGCTATTTGATGTCCCTTATCATCCTACCTCTTAGACCCTAGTAAAAGTATTCTAACTACCCATGTAATTAAGGTCTATGAATGGAAAGCCATATATTCCTAACTATATCCCTAAATATAAAATATCCACCAATTATCAAACACAGATGAGTGCTTAAAAGCTTTTCAATCGTTCTGATAGTCTGTCTAAAATTTAAAGTAAAAATATTGCTTTAGACAAATTGCACAGAAATCATGAAGAAGTTGGTATGCTATACCTGCTTCCCTGTCTCATGACCTTAACTCCCCTTTTGGCTATAGGATGTGATGACTTAGGAAAATGCTGGACTGAATCACACATGTCAGAGATCCCCCAAGGGTAGGTACTGCTTCCCATGCAGGAAACATTAGGGAAAGACTCTTAGATATCCCCTACAACCTCAGGAAGGACTGTTACAATCAATTGCTATTTCATCCCTCCATATTCCTTTCTGCTCTGATCACAGATTCTACCGAAAGACGCGCATCGGGGGCCTGCAGGACCAAGAATGCATCCCATGTACAAAGCAGACTCCTTCTTCTGAGGTTCAGTGTGTGTATCTATTTTTCTCTCCTGTCTTCCCCCAAACCTCTGTGTGTCAACGAAGTCAATAGACATCTTTATTCCTGTAGAAGGAAAAATACTCCTTAGTACTCCTTCTATTGCATTGTTGGTAAAGGCAGTCACCTATGACTAAACCTCAAATTTTCAACATTCAGACTCATTGGACATCCATCATTTCCCTTGTTTTGAAAATTGAATCTAAATGAGGAAATATTTTTATTCATGCTTTGTGACCTACTTGGCTGGGTTTGGTGCCATAATAAATGCTACAATGTACTTTACAAATAATAGCATCTCTACACTTATTATTTGCAATTATAGTCAATATTGCTATTAGAGTCGATACAGATGGTATATGGAAGTTCTTAGGCTTTAGACCACATTAATATCTGAAAAAAGAGCTAGAATCTATCTATATCCATGCCACTTGACATTTACTTGTTTGTCTGACTTCTATAATTTTTGACTGTCTTCTAATATAGTCTTTCAATTATTGGTGTATCTCTAACAATCCCTAAAAATTATGATAAATAAAACAGACTTTGCAAAATACACTTAAGTATAAAAATATAAAGTCCTTAATAGCTGAGATTTCTAGATAATAAATCCTATTTTCAAAATATTTCCTTCAGCGTTTTAAAAGAACAGACATAATAACCTTCCCTTTTGATCCTGTCTGAGTCCTCTTCATTCCTTCCCTCCACAGAAACCACCACTGTCCTGAAATTTTAAGCAGCTTTTTACCAGACTATCCTATGGCAATAAACAAATCCCGTGTTTCTTTTCAAAAGGCCAAAGCTTCATCTATCATGTGCCTATGATTGCTAGACTAGGTAGTGCCCAGTTCCTTGTCACAGAATGAAATGATTGAGATGTATCAGCTCTTGACTGACTCAGTCTAGAAATGACATGCATTGTTTACATGGGCTGCAAGTATGTTGTTGTCTTTACTGTAACGGTGTAAAGAACACAAAGAGTGCGTCGTTAATTCATGGGCATGTTCTTCTGCTACCTTCTTCACTACTGTTTAAATGTTTTTATTACATCTTGTATATTCATATTCTTAGACAATATTGCTAGTATTTTGTATTTTACAGCATTTTTCTATAAAGGTCATCAAGCTATTCTTCACTTGGTTTTTCTCCACTGGGTTATTTATATTAATCAATGAAAGGTCTTTTATGACGTCTTGGGGGTAAATCACAATTTACTGATCTAGTATTTACTGATGAGCATTTTAATTTGGTTCTATTTTTTAGGTTCTGTTACTAAACATAGCATGAATGCACCACAACAGCAGTGTCTTTTGGTTAGTCATGCTAATTTATACAGTGCCTGCAGCATATGAGTTTTGCTTTTTCATTATAATCTTACCTACTATCAGATAAGAACATAACAGCCCTGAGAGAGATGACCTAAAGGAGATGTGGCCTAAATAACTTTAGGGCCCTTTTCTGACTCTTAACTGCCCACATTGACTGCCTCTCCTATTATTTTGTTGGTGTTCCACAGGTACCTTCCAGTTGAGTTTAGTGAAGGTAGATACACACACTGTTCCTGGTAAGGAAGCCACACTTGTCGCACTGGTGGGCAGTTTGCTGGTAGTGTTTGCACTGGCCTTCCTTGGACTCTTCTTCCTCTACTGCAAGCAGATCTTTAACAGACATTGTCAATGTGGTAAGTGTGTCTGCCTAACATTTCATATGAAACAAAAGTAAAATACAATTTTTGGCAAAAGAGGAAGATTTTTGAGATTATAAGTCAAGGTGCCTTCCGTATCACATTAGAAAATCCCAGGAATGATGCTCTGTTATCATGTGGAAACTATCTGGCATGGCATCAAAAAACACGGAATGTCAAAAGGGCTAGAATTTACTTGGAAGTTTAGTAGACCAGATTATTAGGTTTTAAGGGTTTATGGAGAGTCTCTTTCATGGGTTCATGGAAATCACTTGGTAAAGAAACCCTGAGACCAATTACCTAACTTTATTTTTAAATAATAGTGTAACTCAAATTATATAAATTCTTTAGGATTATTTATTTTTAATCTTCAAAATGATAGATGGAATTGGATAAGTTGTTTAAACTGTTTTCTCTATTTATGTATTAATAGATTCTGAAATATCAGAATTGGAGATTTAGATATACCTGAAACATGACTAATAAAATTTAATGAGGTCTACAGTAAATGCTGTCAATATAGGAGTTTCCCAAAACTGGATAACCGAAAGCATAGTGTTTAGTCAGCATTCTTATGTTATTCTGTCTTCCAAAATTCTGCTGCTGAAGATCTGGCCAAAGCCATAGGAGATTGGTACATTAAAATCAAGACAAATGGTCAAGTTTAAAGTCTTGATAATACTTTTACTTTTGTCAATTTCATCTATCAGTCAATAATGTAAGACAGAAAGTATAGTTCATCCGGGAGCGAATACAGAAGAGGTGGGATCATCAGGACTGAATAAGACATTAGAATTCCAGACAAGAATATGAGTGTTCAATGCAGCTTTAGTGCAATTAACAGAACCAAGAACTAAACAGGGACAATAAAAAAAAAACCTAACATAGATTAATAAATAGACCTGTATTAGCAAAGGAAAGGATGGACTTTACTAGATATAAGAACTGTCAGGATTCCATAACTAAATGGATACTGTACCTGAAGCAGCATGTTATTATAGCTTCATTCTGTTTGTGTTGGAAAATCCTTCTTAAATAGAACTTGCTTAGTCAGTTTGGCTCTAGAGTCTATCAATGATTTACCTCTGAGTATTCCTTGTTTAAGCAAAGATGAATCTAGCATTTCATGAGATGTAGTTTTCCCCTCTTGATTCTCAATGACCCTTCTTCAGCTTTACTTCAATCTCCTTAAAGCTCCTCTGGTAGCTCTGACAGTTTAGACAATGGTGGACTGCTGGATCTCTGTCTCATTGACCAGAAGGTTAATCGGAAGGTGGTGTGTAAAGTAAGAATTCTTGCCCAGTACTGAATCATGAGTAATGAAGTGTTTGGGTCACCGGTTTCAGCAAGGTGAATGTGATGGGACATCTAAGACCTGCCTGTCTCCCTGTTCTTCCATTGGGAGAGAAGAAATGAATAACCCCTTTTCTATACTATTGCAGTATCCCCTTGGGAACATAAGGATAGGTAGCTCCCTCATGATTTCCATATGAAAAATGTGCTTATTAGTACTCACTGACTTACACTCATTCTATGGCTTTGTAAGGGAGGTCAACTTGATGTGAATTAAATCCAATGCAGATGCAGGAAAAAGAAATAGGATTGTGACATACTAGAAGGACCATCTCCTCTCTAATCAAGAATCCATTACTCAGCTGCATCCCTTTGCTACCACTGTGAAACCTTTCAAATTTTCAAATAATCCAGACATTTGTAATTTTGTATAAAATTTTCTTATGCACTCACATAATTTGAACAAACTGTGGAAATGCAGTCACAGTGGGGAAACATGAAGACACACAGACTCAGTTTGCAACCTAATATTGAGTCTGACTCATGCATGAGTGCTGAATTACTTATCTATCATTGTTGTAACAAGTTGTCATATTTAATGGCTTGCCTCGGTTTCCATAGTTCGGAAGTTTAGCAGGCTGTATGAAATCTTAACAAGGCCTAAACCAAGAAATTGGCAGGACTGCGTTTCTTTCTGTCTGTCCAAGAGGAATCTGTTCTCTAATGAGTGTGTAGAATTGAAGTCCTATTTTCTTGGTGACGGTGAGTTGATGATCACTTCCAGCTTCTAGAGCAGTAGTTCTCAGCCTGTGGATCATGAACCATCTGGGGGTCAAATGATGCTTTCACAGGGGTCGCCTAAGACCATCAGAAAACACAGCTATTTATAATTCAAAACAGTAGCAAAATTGTACTTTTAAAGTGGCAACATGAAGAACTGTATTAAAGGGTTGAAGCATTAAGAAGATTGAGAGCCACTGGTCGAGAGGCTGCTCGTATGTTTTGGCTCATGGTTCTCTTCTGTGTTTAAAATGAGCAATGGTATAATGAAGTTGTTTAGAGAGATGTTATGGCACATCTTTCTGTATTAATGCTCTGTGTCATTTATGCCTTCTGATACTTATCAGAATGCTTCTAGTAACCTAGAGAAATAGAACTCAATTAAAATGTTCATCATTAATCACAGAATAAAAAGTCATGATTTATCTTAAGGATTTTCTGAACTCATCTGCATAATTCAAGATAATTTTCCTATTTTAACACCCACTACCATAATTCTGATTGTATGGTTCCTTTCCCATATAATATACCCAGATCATGGAAGAAGGGGGCATATTAAAATACTTTTCCTACAAAGCATTTATCTCTAGCTGAAGAAATTTGTCTTCCCTAATCCAGCATCTAAAAGACTTAATGTAATACCCCAAGGAAAATATGTCTCTGAAATGTGTCATTCTCACCTACTTCTAGATCCTCAGGTCCTTCAGGAAGAAAGAGGGAGTCTGGCTCCTAGATCCCCTCATCCCCCCATAGTTTGTGCTCAAGAAGAGATACCCTGTTGTGAAGAGACCCTGACTTTGTGTGGGTGACTCACTGGCTTTCTGCTTTGAGTTGCAGGAGGTACATTGCAATATGAGGCTGAAAAGGCAGTGGAGGAGGATTCTCTTTTTCCCGTGCCACCTGGCCAGGAGACCAGTCCTGAATTTCCAGTGAATGAGATCAAGCCACTCAACTCCATCCTGGATGATGACTGCAGCTCCACTCGTGGCTTCCCTACCCAGGAGTCCTTCACCATGGCCTCCTGTGCCTCAGAGAGCCATTCTAAATGGGTCCATACCCCCATTGAATGTACAGAGCTGGACCTGCAAAAGTTTTCCAGCTCTGCCCCCTGTACTGGAGCTGAAACCTTGAGGGAGAACACAGTTGAAAGTTCCGGAGACAGCCTGGAGCTCCATGTTCCTTTTCAAGTTCCCAGCCTTTGACTCTACTAAGGTGAGCTAGAAAAAAATGTGGGTAAAAGACCAGGAGGTGTGGGGCCACTCTCAACAAATTTCCAGCCCCAGTTCTATTGTTTCATAGGGCTTGAGTGGAAGAATGGCAGGAAATGAGGCTGGGAGAGGTTGAAGATCAACAGTTGTGGCACTAAATCTTTGAGCTAACTTTACATCAGACTTGGAAGCCAGCAATTGTCTGGAGACCCGGCAGGCTGGCATGATGCCAGTTTCTTCATCTGGACCCTACTCTTGACTAGTCATATTGTTTACTCCTTTCATTTGTATAAACGCAATACCATCATACAAATTTGTAACTCTGTATTCAGATGAACCCCAGTTCCTGAACAGCCTTATGATCACGAGCAAATTGCTTTACCTCGTTTAGACAGAGTCTTCTGCTCATGAGTTAGTGTGAGGGTTGAATGACAACATATGCAAGTGTCCTTTATAATGTCTTCGTGAGAAGTGTTTGTACCATGATGGCATTTCCTTCCTTTCCCTGTGTTTCGTCAGCAAATACAAATTCCTTCTATGTCCACTACATTTTATTTCTGAACTTTGTAACTTTATGCCTTTGTGGTAGGCAAATAAGAAATATGCTAATCTCCTTTTAAACAGGTAGAAACTGAGCCACAAAGATGAAAAGTGATTTGCTTAAAGACACAAAGTAACCCATTCTCAGAACTAGGCTAGAACCTGGAATTAGCAGCCCCATTACAGAGTTCATTTAACTCCATCATTGGATTTTGAAATATATGTGTATGTACCTCAATATATGTCACTTATACATATGTTGTATGCATGTATATGTGCATGCGTGTGTATAGAAACATCTTAGATAGAAAACCAGAACATACACAAAATTCATTTGTGCTTCATGTGCACTTTGCACACATAACCTGAAGGTACTTTCATGTGCTATTCTTAGTACAAACTGTCATGTGTGATCAAGCTTAATTGTATCTTGTACTCACTTATGGGTTCTAGTTCTGTCCCTGGGTCACACATCTGACTTCTCTGCCATATTTGAGCACTGGAGACAACATCTGTCTGAGAAGAACCACTTTGGGTTTTTCTTAAGTACATGGTGCTAAATCTTAACCCCGTTTCAGGAAAAAAATATTTTTTCTAGTTTTGATTTTTTTTCTAGAATATGATAGATTTTTATCTCCAAGGCCAGGTGATAGATTTCTGCTATTGTGCCCTAAATCACTGGTCCAAACCCAAACTTTTAGAGAAAAGGAAGAGGAGGCTGGTGATTACACAGCATCACAGGATTCTAACTACTCTGCTCTTTTTCTAGGTCTCTTTCACTCTTGGCAACCTTGCCAGTGGTTGTTCCTGGACTTTCCTGTTCTTCTTCTATTCAACAACTGTAGCATGGGCCTGGGATGTAGGCCCCACAATAATCAGTACTCTAAAAAATGGGGAACACAGGGCTCATTCTACCAGAGGATTAAATCCCCACCATTTCCCCAAGACTGGCCTTGAGCATTTTTTGTTTTGTTTTCTTATTTTAGTCTGGGGACTCAGAATTCATAGCCATGAAAATGGCTATGGGCCAGTTAATTAATTATAGAGGTGGGGGAATAACAACAAACAAGGTAGAATTTTCCTGCCTGTATATTTTTTCTTCTTATATTTTTTGTCAGATAGATCTGAAGAAAGGGTTTTACAGAAGTCTATTGACATCTATATACCACTGTAGAGAGAAAAATAAAGTGCTTTCCAATTTAGCTTTCTGCTTTGACTCTCTCCCCTAATACACACACACACACACACACACACACACACACACACACACACGCACACACACACACACGCACACTCATGCACACACACAGAGTGGAAGGATATATATATATAGAGAGAGGGAGATCATGGGAGAGGTATGAACAAACATGCACACACACGGCAAATACATACACAGAGAGAGAGTGTGTGGGAGAATATATGAAAAGAGATATCATGATCGAGGCCTGAAGCCTTAATTTTACAACTCATGTCAGAGCTATACCTGTGATAGCTCTGAAGTCAGCATATTTGTTAGAGTCTGCATTCGTAAAGATTAGGCTGCCAACAGTCTCTGCTAGGATTCAAATTAGTGTCTTTTAGATTTTAAAATTATCTTTTTTCTTAAATGTCTTTTCATTTTTACTGCTCTAATATCCTTACCTTTTTCCCTCCCAGTCACGTCTTGACTGACAAGTTTCTGAGGAGCAGGAGTAGAGCACTAAGGAGCAAAGGGGACCATTTGGTGCTTTCTTGGCTTAGAGAATAGTCAGTCCATTTCTCTTAAGCTTGAACCTCCAGTTTCACATGCTTCTCAGCATGAATTGAAGCCTTTTCCTCCATGACCTTTCTGTGGAGCATGGCAGATGTGACCCTCAGGACTTAGATGTAAGCATCCCATACTGGTTATAAGTATCCCCTTATTCCCAAAAGAGTCACTAGTTTTGATGCCTATTCCCTCATAGTGGTTCAGGTTTAGAAGGGGGAAAATAGTCAAGTGAGTAAAGCATCTTTTTGCTTGGGAGTTTTATATACTCTCCACAATGCTGATGTGACTTAATTTATTACAAAAAAATAACTAAAGATAAGCACAATCATTTTGGTCAAAGATACTAAGATTTACTATACATATGGTGCTTCACTTTCTATTATTGACATCAGGGCTGTCATCTCCGTAGCTCACTATACATACTTTGATAAAGGCAGTGAAGTGGTTAATCAGTGAAATAGGAGTTCATAACAAGGCTTGAATGTTTTCAGTCTTTTCTCTTCATTTGAAACTTCCTGATGAGTTTTCAAAGGTACAAGAACAGGGCATGGATGCATGCAAGTATTCTCTTACTATAAAGGAGGCAGAAGTACCAGCATTGCATTTTCAAGCAGGTCTGCAGTGCACTGCAAGACTCTTTCTCAAAATCCCACGGGGTAGCGATTTAGATAGTGATGGAGTCCTTGCCTTTAGCATGAACAAGACCTAGATTCCATCCTAGCAAAGAAGAAGAAAGAGATTGGGGGAGGAAGGGAGGAAAAGATGAAAGTAAAGAAGAAACTAAAACATTTTCGCCACCAAAAAATTCAATAGATCCCAGAATCTGCTAGTGCTACAGAAACTGCGGTGGAATTTTCCATCAGAAAATGTTACATGAGTTCATCTTAGGAGCTCTTCTTGCTTTTCCTATCACTAACTCTTAAATACAGTTTATAAGATTTTTTGACTTGATTCTTGGGTCCTTAGACTCATAGTCTGTGAATCTGCCAGAAGGTCCAGCGGATAGTCAAAGAGCAATGATCCTGAGTTGAACCATATAACACAGAAAGGAAGTTTCATATGGGTCTCCTGGGCCTTATCTAATATTTGTAATTCTATATTTTTCTAGCCCTAGCAGCAATCCAGGCTGAAGTTTGATCTTTCAGGACTCTACAGAATATTTTTGAGCCAGTTTTTCCGTTTTCAATGTCTGGGCTTTCAATACAATCATCCAGAAGGTGCTTCAATATAATTTCAATACAATGCCTCCAACCTATTTAGGGTTAGCTAAGTGAGAATAGGAAAGATGCCCCAAGGTATTGGTATTGCTTTTGAAATGTCAGTTCGATACCTAGTGTGCTGTCCATTTGGTTCTTTTTGAAGGTTCATGTTGCCTTTAGTTCTTCTCTGTTTGTTTCCTGAACAGAGAGAAACAGATTTTCTGTGGAGATTATATTATTCTTTATTATCTCAAAATCTTTCTGAATCTTTTATAGCTAGTTTCTATTCCTGAAGTGGGTGGTTAAAGGAGAACATGGACTTCATCAATCAGGTCTTACCACTAACAGAGTATTCTCTACAGGATTTCTGTTTTGAGGATTCTGTTAAGTATATCTTTAATAACAACTCATCCATAACCACTGATTAAGGGCCTTAAGGTCAAACCACTGATAAGTGTGTTAAAAGCATGGGCGAAAAATGCTAAAAGGTCCCATTGTACTCGGCAGGGGATTAGAAGCAATGAATCACAAACCTGCACCAGGCAACCTGGTCTCATGTAAGCATTAGCAAATACGTGTGAGCCAAGGTTTAGGCCTTGATCTTTGGGCACTCTGTATTTTTTTTCTGGGACAGTTGATTCTTATCTCGCCAACTTTAATTAGTCATATCTATACTTCTGATGGAGAAGAACTAACACCCAGTCTAAGGTAGATTGAACTTAAGTAGTTTCCAGCTGTCGAAAGGTCACCATGTGCCTGGCACTGCTTCAAACTCAAGTCAATGTGATGAAATGAGCTAGGCATCCTACCACACTGTGCTTTTACAGAGCATTGCCTATATATGGTATATATGTATCTACCATACTAAGAACCATCTTGGTTCCAATTTTCTTAAATTTAACAGTTGGAGTTGGTAATTAGAATAAGGTGAAGTTTGGTTTATATTTGATTTCTAAGGTATCTTGGGTAAAAGGGAAAGGTGCTTTTTTTTCTTTATAATTGGTATTTGGCAATGGCCAAATAAACAGTTGTATGTTTGCTCAAGAAGTGTCCTTATAGAGTGGGACAACTTTGAGTACTATACTTTTATGTGTCTTCTGCTTGGGAGTATAAGTCAGTAGAAGACTTCATTAGACATGTATTCAACATAACTCTGAGCCTGGAAAGTATTCTAGTTTTACATATTTGATCTGGAAAAAGAAAGTTAATTTTGTTTATATGGCAGAAGTCGGTGTTTAGTGGAGGTGAGTCAGGTTTCAGAATTCAATTTTTTCCTCCATTCACAGTTTCACTGGAATTTTGAAAGGATATTAGTAGTATGGGAGGTCAACTTTCTTTCTTAAGGATCTTAATATTTGGTTAAGTAAAAATGTCAATACTATACCACTCTCCCCAACAAACAGCCCTGTCACACTGAGATAGACCCTCATACACCCCTCTCAATTTATTACCAAGGACTTTGGTATTTTGTGTTTAATGTAGGTAGATTTTAATTATTGTTTTCCTTAAATGAGCTATTTATAAATATTTTGTCAAATCTTGAGCCATATGCATGTGTGGATACTGACAAGTTGTGTTTGGATTATGAAAATCTGCAAACAATTCATATGAATCAATAAACAGATGTACATTCAAGTGTCTTGTTTATTACTCTGCTTTCAGGGAACTGGGGTGACTCATTTGGTTGTTTTCTGTGTCTGCTCAGTCAGTACAGAAGAAATGTGTTTCTAATCATTGGGCGTAGCACCAGGGCTACAGAGATTCTGACTTGTAACCCAGGAGATCTGAGTTATAGTCTAAATTATCCTGCCTTTGAATTGATTATGACATTTATAATCTTGTCTGACTACAGATCTACAAGACAATTTTATGTTCAAAACTTATAATTCTTAAGAAGGTTTATGTAGTCTTCAGACTGCATGCATATATTTGGAGGAATGAACCAAATTCCTATTTGGTCGCACTGTTTTAAAAATAGGGAAAAGCACACATCACACGCACACATCACACACACACACACACACACACACACACACACACACACACACACACTAGACCATCAGTAAGATTGCCTCTGAAGAACATTACCCATTACCTCCCATTGTTTGGTCTGTATTTCTGTTTACAATGTTATTTGATTCAAGGGGCTGCTAAAGGACTAACATTTGATTTGAAATGTTCTTCACTCCTATAATTTTATTTAAAACCAGGACAATTAAATTTCTTCCTATCTCAAATATCGTCTAATCCTAATAAAACACATACTGACAAGGATGTGAAAAAGGAGAAAATCTATACATTGTTGGTGGGATTGTAAAATGGTATGACCCTTTGAAACAGGCTGGTGGTTCCTGTAAAAGTTAAAGCTTCAGTTGTCATATATTCAATAATTCTACTCATCCATATATTCTGAAGGTAACTAAAAACTTGTACATATAATACCTTGACTAAACACTTTTATAAATA